TAGAATATATCCCTTGTACAAGCAACAGCTTTTGGGATAGCCTCTGTTCCAGTTGTTCATGACCTACATGAAGACTAAGCTACATATGAGGGGGGAGGTCTAGGTCCAACCCATACATGTTCTTTTGGTTCAGACTTTGAGAGCCCCAAAGGTCCAAGTTTGTTGACTCTGTTAGTCTTCCTGTTGAGTTCCAACTCCCATTGAAACCTACAGTCCTTCCTCCTATTCTTTCATAAGAATCCTCAGACTCCCATCTACTGTTTGGCTGTGGGTGTCTGTATTTGTCTGAGTCAGCTGCTGGGTGAGACCTCTCAGATGACAACGTGCTTCTGTCTGTAAGCATAACAGAGCATCATCAATAGTGTTAGAGATTAGTGCTTGCCCATGGGATGGTTCTCAAGCAGCTTTATTCCTAATAGCCAGAAACTGGCAATAACTTAGATGTCCCTCAACTGAAGAATGAATAAAGGAAAATCTGTTACATCTACACAATGGAATACTATTCAGCTATTAAAAACAAAGACACCATGAATTTTACAGGCAAATGGATGGAACTTGATAATATCTTCCTGAGTGAGGAAATCCAGACCCAAAATGACATGCATTGTGTGTACTCACTCATAAAATACAAGTAGCAGGCTATACTCTACAGACCCAAAGAAACCAAACAAGAAGGAAGGCCCAAGTGAAGAAGCTTGAAACTCATTTAGAAGAAGGACAAAATCAGTTATAAGATGTATATGGAAGGCGAGAACTTGAGAGAGGGCTATGGGAAGGCGAATGGGGGCTGAGGATCAGGTGTGAGGAAGATGGCCGAATGGCCATGAAAATGAATGGAAATCTGCAACTGACGAGGGTGAGGAGGTGGGGGCATCTCGAGGATGAGGCAGGGACCTGGGACAAGAGAGAAACCCAAGAATCAATGGGGGTGACATTAGCTGTGACTCATTACACTGGGGATATGGAACCTGAAGAGACCACCTCCTATGTTGAGACTGGAACCTCACTGGAGTGATAGAAACACCAACTCACTCACAAAACTTTCAACCCATAATTTATCCTGACTACAAGTAATACAGGCACAGGGGATGGAGCAAAATCCTTTCTTTACAGGAATAGACATCCTTCAGTCTGACTCTGGCCACAGCAGCTCAACTAGGGCTCCATTTCTTTATGCCATGAGAGGACAGGCATAAAGGACAAGCTGACCTGCCATGCCAAGCTTACGAGAACCTGAAGTGGCTTTTACCATGGCTGTGGTTTCTGGGAAGTCTCTATGGGTTTTGTCACCCACCTCTGGACCCCACTGTATTTAGCCTGTGTGTAACTGGGAGTTTGTTTCTTTCCCTCTGCCACCACTATGCTCTGCCCTTGGGAAGAGAAGCCCCAACTTCTGTGTTCTGCTTTTAAATTCAGTAGGGAATTTTTAAAAAGAGCTACCTTCCATACTATCTCTCTGTAGGTTCCTGCTCCTTGGCTAGGAAATCTTCTTGGTTGCTGGTCTTGTGCTGTTCTGGGAAGCTTTGGCTTTTGTCTGCTATTTATTTATTTATTTATTTATTTATTTATTTATTTATTCATTCATTCATTCATTCATTCATTCCTTTATAAATACCATGCCTATTGTCCTATTTCTCTGGTTTTTGTTTTGTTTTGTTTTTACCTGCATCTTGTCATCTAAACATGGGTTCTAAATACGTTCTCGCTTCATGTTGGGTCACCATTTGGTGAAGTTAGGGCTGTTTCTTTCCCCTAGCCCCATGCTCTCAGAAATAAGACTCAGACTCAAAATACATTTACAAATACCTTGGCCATATAGCTAGGCTCTTCTCTGACCAGATCATAACTTAAAGGAACCAATTTATTCTAATCTACATTCTGCAAAGTGGCTGGTTACCTGTGCTCAGGTAACATGCCTCTGTTTAGTCATATCTTCCTGGGTGAATCTCCTGTCTCTGACACTATCCCAGAATTCTTTCTGACTCCCAGATGTCTCCCTTCATATTTGCTGCCTAAGCCATAGGCCATCAAATTTATCAATGACAGATACCAAATCCATACAGATACAAGATATTTTCTCTACAGGTTTTGAACATAAAGAGATCCCAAAACCAAAGAATTTAAAAGCCACTTTCTTAGGTCTACACCATAAGTCCCCAACTTCTTGTACTGGTTAATTATACCAACAGCACACACAGCATCTCTGATTTACTCTTCTTGAACACATCTTCTCCTTCTATTAGTATCTTCCTGACCTTCTGACCTGGCACAATAGATGCACTATGTTTTAGATCATTCAGTGGTACTCCACACGAGGAATACAGGTTCATCACATACACTTGTTTCTTGGAATTGACCCACAAGCTATAGCTATTTGAACAAAGTCGAGTTCTTATGTTAGGGAACACATGGCTCTTGTCTGATCATTCCAACCAAAACAAAACTCATAATTATTTCTATAGAGCTTGTCACGAATCCCATTACTTGCCTCTCCACAAAGAGAAACCCAACATACTGCATTTTTGGCAGCACAAACTTAGGGGTGAGTTATAGGTTTGAAGGTTTGCTTTTGTGTATGTAATCTGTATGTATATGTGCATATTTGTATATGTGTATGCATATACATGTATGAGTACATGCCCATATTACCTCCTATGTATGGATGGCAAAAATCAATATAAAGTGTCTTCCTTAATGACATTCCATCTTTTTTTTTAAGATTTTTAAAATGTATTTATGTATATGAGTGCTCAATTTACATGACAGGAGAGAGAGTTAGATCCCATTACAGATGGCCATGAGCCACTATGTGGTTGCTGGGAATTGAACTCAGGACCTCTGGAAGAGCAATCAGTGCTCTTAATGGCTAAGCCATCTTGCCAGTCCATCTATCTTACTTTTAAGACAAGAGCTCTCAATAAAATTGGAGCTCACCAGTTAGGTAGGCTTGCTGGCCACTGCTCTGCAAGGATTTTGCCAGTCCCTGTACCCCCACCTCAGGTCTGGGGTCATAGCTGATATCTTAACTCTAATTTAGGCAAAGAAGTTTCTATGTCCAGGCTACCAGCCTCAAGATACCAGAGTGCTATTGATGACACATCCCCACCCTTGTAATTAGTATACCTTAAACAAATGTACCCATTTCCCCAATTTACCCTATAACCTCTAAATCACAAACTAGCAAGATTCTCTTCCTCCTTGCTGGAAATACAGGATCACTCTTCCACTACCCTCCTCCTAGAATCTGAGATAGCCTGACTATATGCAGTAAATTCATCAACTGTGAGATATAAACTCCCTCCTCTGAAACCTATAAGAAGGAACTTACCTTACTCCCTGCCATGCTATTGTCTTTTTGTGATATTACTAATTCTTCTAAATCTTTCAAAAAAGTCAATCTACCTCAATGTCCTCCTCCTTGAATCATAAATCCAAGACCTTTCAGTATACCTCGATAAAATATACCACAGTAAAAATAGATTTTAAGGGTTGTGTGGTTTAAAATTTCTGAACCATAAAAGTTTCCTTATACCACACTTTCCAGATCATCAGCATCTGACCCAATATTTCCTCAAAAGATTGTCTGCTACATTGTTGGGTAATATAAGTGGTCTAAGAAGACATTCTAAAGAGAGATGAACTTGAAAAACCCTCTTTGATTAAGGTAGCAAGAACTTCTGTTTATATTATTATGAGGCTTTGAAGTGGTTCTGATCAGTTCAGAAGTTGAATGTGTTGTGCTTCTGAAGATGCATAGCCTTAAGTATTGTCATATCTAAGGAAGTGATGAGCTCTTTAGTTCTCATGTCCTCAACATACCTCACCACTGTTAGAAGAAGGGCCACACAATCAGGAAGCAGGGCTATGACATTAGATCATAGCCCCTCAAGCTGTGATATGGAGTTTGCTGAAATCATATTCTTGATCATCTGGAAATTAAGATCCTGCCAAATACCTTGGTATACCTAAGGTAGGGGTTGCCTTCTAGAAGACATAATGGGTAAGACAATTCATAGTTTGGCAAAGTGACTTTAAATCTAGCTGAGAATTAATTAGACATATTTTCCAGAAAATACCAGATAAGCTCACTCTCCTGGGATTTTAATAACAACTGAAATTCCACAAAATTTTTGTTCTTAGTCTCTATTCTTTCCCCCATAGAGGGGAAAAGACTAGCCTTGTGCAGCAGGAATAAGAACTTACTTTTTGCTAATTTGACTTTTATTTATTTTCAGAGCTCAATTCACCTTGGGTTTCTAGATAGATTCTTCATTCTGAGTGGCTCACACATAGCAGTATAACTTGAGGTAGGATAAACAAAGACCACCTAACAGTAGAGACTCAAGGGTAGAGATCAAGGATGGCATGTTGCATGTTGTATGTGCGTTAACCAACCCCTCCTGATGCTTTAACCTGGCAATTCAAGAGGCTTCCAAGCTGCTTTGCCTGCACCAAAGACTCAAATGAAAGAGACTGCCAAAGGAAGCAAGTTGAATTCTATTTAATGTGATACTTAGAAATTTTATCTCTATGTACACAGAATTCCTTCCTTTACCAAAAATTACCCTTTACTCTATAGTATATCTATATAACATTGCTCTTGAAAGACTGGACACAAACCATCATTAGAACAGAGAAGCAATACCTTCTCCAGGGCCACACACATGCCAAGGGGTTTATAATGATCTCCCTCTGTACTCAAGCCCCATCATATTCATAGCATCAATTTGAAAGAAAGCCAGACACTAGGATTCTTGGAGAGCGGATCCACCATCTAACACTCAGACTTGGAGGCAGAATTTCTCATAAAACATGTTATCCTATCAATGGTCCTGAAACTTTAAGAATGACTTGAACAGTAAATTGTGGATAAAAATCTAGAACCTGCAGTATCATGATTTTGGTTATGGAAAGTGGCATGAAGGACACTTAGAGGGGTCAAATCATGGAGCTGTTTTTGTAGTTCATGATAAGGGAGTAGGTATCATGAGGAGATAGAATCACACTCCAGTCTGGAGCATTGCAAGGAGCCATGAGAGGCTACCCTGCAGGAACAGGACAGCAACCATGGGCAGGTGCCTCAGAGTATCAGCATGGGAGCCAGAGAGAGCCATTGGTACAGCCCTGAAGCCTGCAGGGGTCTTGTCCTGAGGTTCTACTTTGCCTCCAGAAGACTCTAAGCATGATCCTCGAGGAGTTGGTATAATATCAGGAATCCAACCTGTTGTATTTTCTACTTCTTCCTGCAGGAGATAGGAAAAACTGAATAATTTCAGAACTATCCTTACCATAATTCCATTTCTCAAAACCTTACTCTGCCACCCCACCCTTACAAGCTAGCTGGGAGGCTGCAACAACTTCTACAGTTCAAGAGAGCCACAGCTTGCCTTTGCTTCCTGTGATTCCCTCTCCCAATTTGCCCTTCCTATCTTTGTTATTTGCTGCCATCATCTTCTGTCTGTCATTGCTTTTCCCAATACCATCCCTCAACCTTGCAGGGTGGCTTCTACTGTAACACACACATCAATGGTCTTGATCAATACTGTCTGCTGGGACTCCTTGCAGGCTTTCTCAGCTTTCTTAATGTTCTCTGGAGTCCACTCAACATTATTCAGGACCATCAGGTTCTCCATGGGATTTCTGTGGATAGAAGGGTTAAGGCAGGGACATGGCAATAATCAATGTTGACTTACAGCGCAGACAAAATATGTTGAAGAACACCTTCATTTTTGCTTCCACACTAATATAAGCCTTCCACACTAGTGTAAGTCACATGGAATGTTGTTTAATTAAATGGAAATTCTTAGTGAGTTTGGTGAGAAAAAAATATCAGAGAGAACTTAGGACATCGAAAAAAAGATGGTCTATAAGGACATAGGTGCCATAGGATCTGAGAAGGTGGTTGGATTAGCTTCTGTAAATCTGCAATTAGCTGTGGTGGTGCACATCTTTAATATCAGAACTTAGGAGGCAGAGGCCTGTGGATCTCTGTGAGTTTGAGGCCTACAGTGTTCCAGGACAGCCAGGGCTACAGAGCGAGAAATCCTGTCTTAAAAGAATGAAAGGAGGAAAGAAAGAAAGAGAGAAAAACAGAAAGAAAGAAAGAAAGAAAGAAAGAAAGAAAGAAAGAAAAAGTCTTCAATTGCCCTGAAATTGCATGTGTGTCTGTTAAGAAAGATGTTTCCAGCCTTTTATTAGAGTCACACAAGAGTGGGCACTTACCTATAGGCTGTGACATAAATGCAAACTAATTTTTGAGTGAAGCCTGAAAGATAGGATTTTATGCACAAGGGATCTGACTTTCAACAGTCTGCTGTGATCTGCATCTCTGAATGCCCTTATTGATACAGAAACTTTCATGCAAAACTTATGTTTTCAGAGGTTTTTGAATCAACACTGAATGGAGCAAGGATGGGAATGGCAGAGTGTGATTAGGCCACCCACTGACAAGATTCCTTCCCATGCACTTGTGGGCTTTTGCTGTTAGACTGACTCACTCTGATGCTTCTTCCCCCAGCTCATTGGTCACATAGATGATATCAGGGTATCCCATGCAACTGGAGATGTTAATTCTGGGATAGTAGAAGAAGAAGACAAGGCACATCTCATTAATGGTGCTGGCACCACCCTGGAGAAGGCGAGAGAGGGAGAGACAAGTAAGTATACAAAAACATACAGAGAGGGAAAAGGTAAACAACAAACCATGAAAGTTGTCACTCTTCCAGAGAGCTCTTTCTCTTCTCATAGAGTCCAGCTCACCACACCTTATCAGATGGCTTTCTTTCTCCTCCTCTACTTTCAGCCATTGAGCAAATATTGATATTATTTTAAAAGAATTATTCTTTAGACTATTCTTCATATTTTTCTTATTCTTTAGGCTTCCATTGCTACCCTCTGGTGTAGGTTAAACTCTCTACTTTGCCAGTGTCGGCTAGCCCTCCTCCACCCCTCGGCTTTATTACATTCTCTTCTCCCTACAGCTGCTGATTATTTCAATATAATATAATATAATATAATATATAATATAATATAATATAAATGTGTGTGTGATAATTTATTCTGAGACAAATTATTTGATTACATATAAGAAACCCTAGCCTATCTATTTCCCTCTATTATTGAGCTGGAAAATACAACTTGACAGTTAGACCTTGCTGTCTAACAGTTGTAGGTAGGACATCATCTTCTCTGCTTTGAGAACACTTCTTAGTCACAAATTCCTCAACTTAATCCCATTACTTTCTACATCTACCCTCTTTCTTTAATCCCACCCAAGATCATTGCTTTTCATGTACAAAGTACTCCTTGCTGATGGGTGGCTTTGTCATTTCTGTCCTTTTCCAGAACTTGGCATTACTATGTGTCTAGAATCAGACACACGTACTGATATCACAGGAGTTATGTGCTGTCTCATGATTCCTGAAATAGTTCTAAACTATAATCCCTGGTTTTTCATTTTGATGTCTTCTCCCTTGATTTTACAATAAAATATGGCTGTGTTTCCTTCCTTGAAGTTGTGCAATCCTTTCTGAGGGACTGAATTGGTCTCTATATAAAATTGTTGGTTTCTTGGTAATTATGGTAACAATAGTTAGCTCTAAGTGAGCATCTACTATAAGAGAGATGATGGTCCCATTGACCTATATGTGGTGACCGATTATTTCAATAATCTTATGAGATAGTAGTATTATTCCTTTCTTATGAATTTAGAATGAAGCAAGATTTAGAATATTTTGTTTAGGTAATAAAGCTGCTAAATGATTTGCTGGCATTCCAAACCAGGGCTGTTACGACTTCAAGTTCATTGATAGTGTTGGGAAGCTGAGAGACAGAGATGCCATAACACATCATCTTATGGTCTTAATGGTCACCAACAGGAAGAGTACAGAATCTCCATCTTAGATGCAAGGAATTGTAAGAACATGAAAAGCCTCATGGAAGAGAGGAAAACAAGCTAGAAGAATCAGAGTCACTAGACAGGTAAAGCCAGGATACAGCTTTCTTCAGGGTTTAAAGTCATTGCTATGTCTGTGGAGAAAGACACTTACAAAAGTCATGAAGTCACGATCCAGTGTCTGGTAATGACATTCTGTTAGCAGCTCATCCCCCTATGCACAGTGAAACATGAGAGCAGAGAGTAAGCCAAAGAGAAACTGCTACAGTCTTAGAACTGTCTGGGCTAACAATGAGCTACAGTCTCCTTGCTCTCCCCCTTGCTCCAGCCGTTACCCGTCCTCAGGATCCTACCGGCTTAATCACTACAGGATGAGGTAAGTCTCGAGACTCTTGTAGATTGAAATCATAAGAGAAATCTTTACATACTATTTGGAGCTGGGTTCCATTTCTAGAGGGAGAGAAGAGCAGTAAAACAGAAATTAGAAGATGAAGCAGAAAAGGCCAGACCAATAAAGATGGAGTATGTGGCCTCATTCAGGGAAGGCAAATGAAATAATCCTAAAAGAGTCCTCTTTCCCAGTCTATTCTTCTCTCTCTAGTTTAGCTTCTTCTTCTTAACCAGGGATAACATCATGATGAAGCAGTAACTATTCCTATACACAGAAGGGAAAGGTTCAAGGTTTTTAACTACCTGTATTGCAGAGCTTGCAGTGACCTCCCAGCTAAGTGGGTGTGGAGCAGGCAGGCTGAAACATGTATGTCAGCTACTGGAGCCCCATTCATCTGTAACAAGAAGGCATACCAGAATGGTCAAGAACTCACGCTTTATTTTTCTTCCCTTGATGCTTGATAGCATCCTTTTCTTGATCTAGTTAAAATTTGCTCTCTTAACTTTTTGTGTTTAGATGTCACTGAGTTTGTCCTTTGACAGTTTTACACACTGAGTGTATTCTGGTAACTACTCCCCTCCCTCTAATCTCTCTGCTAAGCCTATTGCCCACCCTTTTCTATACAAGCCTCCTTCCCATATTCACAACTTTGCTCTTGTTTTATGTTGGTTTATTTTGGCACTCCCTGACTTTAAACTGGATCACCTGTGTGACCATGGGTTTGGAACTATCTGATGGATCCTGTTGGGATCATTGGTGAATGCACAATGATTATCTTTTCTCCTACAACCCATCAGTAGCCAATACTTTAGCATGGAAAGGCCCCTTCTTGATCCGTGACTGAGAGTTGATAGGACCAGTCTTGGATTGGCTTAATACAGCCAGCCACAGCTACTATGAATTAATTTCTGCATTGGCTATGCCATATAATACCAAGAAGATAACATTTCCAGCCCTTCTTCCTTCTTCCTGACCATCATATTCTGTCCTCTGTTTTCCAAGATGGATGTTCCCACTCACTGTATTTCTACTATCCCACTTTTCACTGAAGTTCTTTGCTCCTAAAGCCCTGACACATTTCTCTCTTGCAGAATGTGTGCTTGCCACTTTTCTGAGCACCAGGCTTTAGTCATTTTTCAAATTTGTGGCTCAGGCTTCTGAGCTTCAGAATTAGACCAGCACTCTGAAGGAGAGCAAGAAATCCAGAGAATACACGTGTCTCAGCTTCACCTCTTCAAACTTGTCTGTCTTACATAGCCCATAGGACAAGAAAGCCTCAGCACCCGGGGGTATAAAGTGAATAGGAAAAACTGAGATTCCCAGCTGGAGAACTCCCATGTCATATTTGCGAAGGTGCGAGGTGTAGTACAGCCGCATCCCTGAGGTATCACGGATACCTAGAGTAGAAAGAAATACTCTCCTCAGAGGGTGGGAGTGGGTCACAATGCTCAGGAAAGCTGGAATGGGCTGTGATTAACAGAATCCAGCATGTATGCACATGTCTCCCACATCCAGAGGAGCCAGTTGCTTCCACCAGCTGCCCTCTCACAAATCCTTTGGATACTCACCAGGAAGGTTCTGAAAATTGCTGTAGTGAATTTCCAGTCTGATCCATTGAGGGTCAAAGGGGGTTCCGATAGAGATGCCTACATCATCTGGAACCTGGTAACTCTGTGGAGATTGGAAAGTATAGCAGTGATGTGAGAAAGGATAGACACAAGATGCTTGGATCTGAGCTCTGGCTCTGCCCTGGTTTCTATCCTTTCTTTCAGAACTTCTATGCCCCCAGGTCTTCCATTAGCCCATTGCCAAACAGCATGCACCCCCTTGTCACAAAATGCTTCCATCTCAGGACTCACAAGGCCCCCGACAGCCCAGCCTGCGACGACATGGGAGCAGAGGGAGAAGGAAGGGTCTGATCCATAACATTCACCGATGCCTGTGGGGAGCACACTAGAATTGCCACATGCATACACAAGAATGTGATGCACCATCGTCTCATTTCGTTCCACCAATATAGGTTCAAACTGGACAGAGAAAGGAGGGTAGATGATAGTTAAGATCATGTGTCATAGCCTTATTATCCAGTCCTTCCTGCCTCCCAAAGCTATGCCATTCTCTACTTCTCTGAGTTTCCCCTCATCTATTTCTCTCCCTGAATCCTACCACCTTCCCTAAACTGTACTAGCTAGACTCATCTCTTAAATACATTTCAACCCCCATCTCTTTAAATACATTTCTTGGGAGCACAGCTCACAGTTCTCAGTCACCAGGGAACTTCCGATGACTCTTTCTTTAGTGATCTCAATCAGTTCACAATTTGCATATATGTATCCACGTTCCTTTGAAATCTATCTTTTAAATGCCCCCCTATATCTTGGAACCAGTAAAATTACTTTTTTTAAAACTTGGCCTAAGTTAAAAAAACAGTTAAAAAATTAGAAGACTAATTTTGAGTTCACTCTGACTTGATTCTCTTACTGGCTGACAGTACCTGGCCACATCTCTTTCTTGCTTTTACCAGCTCAGTTGCTGAAAGAGAACTATTCTGGGATCATGATGGGACTTGAAATTGTTATTTTCAAAAACATACTAATTACTATCTTCTGTCAAAATAACCTGGACTTGAAAAAAATACTTTTAATAGTTAGAGTTCTGGCCCCAGGAAATTATGTGGCTTCCAATCCCACAAAACTCCACCTGGCCCTACCCTACATTTCCTTTCCTGTTATTTCCTCACAGAAACCTTTTCAATCTCCAGACTTCAACATGTCCATTGCTTTGCTACAGTGACTTCCCTACTTTGGCGAACTTTTTCTCTTGGTTCACATACCTTGAAGATGTGATGCTTTTTGCTGACAATAGGAAGTGGGAGAAAGGTGCAGGCATATGTGGTATCATCCTCTGGAATGAGGAACTGGGGAAAGATGAAAAAAAGCTGAGTGGAATGGGAATAAGGGTCCCTCAAAAGCAAGGAAGTAGACAGGTCAGGGAGCAGGGATCATCTTAGGTCTATATTGGACTTCTCACAAGGTCAAGGGGACTCATAGTAACTTTACTCTAAGGAATGTGTGGGTATTTGGTGCAAGATGAAAGGTCTGGGGTGAATCGGGAGATGGAAAAAGGTGAAGGCAGATAAATGATATGGTGGGATCTTACATTACTTATCTTCAAGTCATAGATGATGGTGTCTTCAGGGGCATCTTGATCATCATATTGTAGCATTTGAAGCAAGAAGATGGACTTGACAAAAGTATGCTCCCGACTCATCTTGGGTATGTCATCCAGGCCATAGGCAGCCAGGACCCTCATGGTATCACTCTATGGGTACCACCACGAACATTGAAGGCCTGATATTCAACAGCACTTTGCATTTACCTGTATTCAGTTTCTTAGAGTGCCACTTATCTACACAGTGGAATGAAAATAACTTGATACAAGATTAGTGTGGCTTTAGTTCTACCTCTGAGATTAACTCATTTGCCGTACTTAACCCTTTTCTGTTCTTTTTCTCTATACCTGCAGAATAAGAAGGGTGAACCAAACTTGAACTCCAGACACTGATATTAAATGGAATTGATATTAAATGGAATTTCCTTTAATAGGGGAAGAATAAAACAGGCAGGCCCTTAGTTATTGGGTGAGACCATGCCAAGGAATCATTATAAATTTTAAGAGGTGATACAACTGGACAGTACTCAAGAAGACTAAAGGATAAAAGTCCCATGAATTACGTGGCTAAATGTTTTTCCTTTTTCTATATCTTACCGTAATGTCATGATCATGTGGATCACAGGATCTGAAGGGCCTGGAAAAGCGCATGATAGTTGAGGCAGAATCTTCTGTGAGCTTTAGCAGTTCAGCATCCTGGCTTCCATCTTGTTCTAGAGTGTCCTCATCCAGAAGGTGCTGATCCTGGGGTCCAGTAATCATTAAGAAGTAAGAACCAGGATGCCAAACAATTAAGCTTTAGGACAACAGGTATATGCTAAAATGGCAGAAGTCAGCTACCTACATTGCACAAATGGATGTGTTCCTGGGACAGACATGTCTGTTGGAGATTTACATCTGGCTTTATTATTTTCACTTCAAATGTTAGCTTCATCAGTTCTAGTAATCCACTGAAATCTTTAGAAAAACTTGTTCTCTGAACTATCTATACATTCTTATGATGCTTTAATTATACATTTTTGTGTGCTTTGATGAGCATAACACCATATAAGTGCAGCTCACAGCTGTGATTGTGAATTTAGAATGTGTGAGTCTGGGGAGGCAAATGAACTACTATCTCATTTGTAAAAGTCAGGTTACAGTAATGGTTCTCAACCTGTGGGCCATGACCCCTTTGGAGTATCAAAGGACATTTTCACAAGGGTTGCACATCAGATATCCCAGATATTAGATATTTATATTACAATTCATAACAATAGCAAAATTGCAATCATGAAATAGCAACAAAAATAATTCTGTGTTTGGGTGTCACCACAACATTGGGAAGTGTGTTAAAGGGTCATAGCATTAGAAAGGTTGAGAACAAATGGATTATAGTAATCCCTCTCAGTGATGCTATGAGATTTAAAACAAAAGAATTTGGAACAAAAGCACAGTTTTGCTTCTTTACCTGGCATTGCCGTTATTAGACAATTTCATACTGAAGTCTACCTAAGTGGGTGTAAAGGACATTGGAGACAAAGACTGTTCTAATAACTGAATTTCTCCAGTGACCTCCATTTACTCTGCTTCTAGAAAGTAAGTTGTATTAGACTCTTACAGTATAAAACCTCCTCTCTCTTAAAAGTCTGACAGACAAGTGGCTTAGAAGACATAGACTGAAGTACTACAGCATCTTCGTAGGGAGAAACCTGCAATCAACTAGAGTTCAGTGTGCTTGGCTGAGCTTGCAGAAGAAAAATTCTTTTCCCTAGACACAAGGCCATCCTCAACCCAGTGAAGGAGCTCTTCCATGGGTTGGAGGTTGGAGACTATGGACATGAAGCCATCTTCAACTCAACACAAGTTGCTTATCCCTGGACTTACCGAAAAGTAGACATTGCCATTGGGTAGAACTCCTCCAACTACCAGATCACTTCCCACAAAGGTGTACCGATCTGTGATGCCCAGGCCAACCCAGCCAGTTGTTTGGACTTGGAGCTCAAACGTGATTATCTCAGCCTCATAATCAAAGTCCCAGCGCAGGAAAACAGCATGGGAAGGATCTAGGAATCTGGAATAACGAAGGGGAGATGTAGGACCCAAGCGCTTGCCTTGGGAAAAGGCTATCAGGACCAAAAGTAAAAAAAGCCTGAAAAGAACACAGGCCATGACTCCTGGGGCCCAGAACAGCTTTCCTGCAGATGGAGACTCAAGAGCTCTAGACTTATATGTATCTATACTTGTGCCAGGCACAGTGCCATGGGGGGAGGGCCAGGTTGGTATTCTTCTGATCTGATTATCCACTGTGTACAGAGTGGTGCCACTTACATAACTTGAGCCAGAAGTGTCAGGAGAGGACACAGAGTAGGATTATCTCACTTGAATTCAGTGACCTAATGTGAAATTGCAGAGTCATGCAGTTTTCTATAGCAACTCTATGACAGGGTCATGCCTGATGCAAACCTGTAGAGTCAACGAGGTTCTCAGTTTTCCCCCACCTCTCTGTTCCTCCATATCTACCCTACCTTTGTAATATCTTTAGCAAGTAACATTTCTCTGGAATACTCCCTTCCCCACCCCAGTTTTGTGGTCTTTCACCATTGTGTCCATGTGTAGAATGGAGGCAGTGGAATGTTAGCATATCCTTTTGACTTCCTGGTACAGTGGAGGAGAGAGGTATTAAGGGGAAAGACTATAATATAATTTCAGTCTCCTGTAGGAATCTGTGTTTCTAATCCTAGGAAGAATATTTAGAGATGAAAGACTTCTAGAAAGGTGGACAAGTCTGGGCAAATTTGATTTTAGCAATTCATACAGAGGAGCAAGAAGTGGGGGGAAGAAAAAGAGGGAAAAATGAGAAACAAATGTGAATTTGCCTGTGGGACAGTTTGTGCTTTACTCTTCTGTACTGAAAACATGAGTAGCTTTTCAAATAAATCACAGTTCACTTATTCCCCTCTCCAGGTTTACCAAGATTCTGCACATTCAAGTACCTTGGTATTATGCAAACAACTAAAGCCCAAAAAGAATATTTGAATAATAGATCATAATGAAACTTGAGTCTGTTTAGCTGCATGACAATTCCAGCTCATTTAATTTTTAGACCAATAAATGGGGACAAGAAGGAGAAGCATCAGTAGTGTGTGGTTATATACTCCGTCAGTGGTGGAGTTGAATGACAGACTACAAGGAAGCCTGTCTCATCTTCTCACTTTGTAGTACTTCCTCAAGCCATGACACTCCTAGGACAGCAGGCCCCTGAGTGCTTTGCTATGCTCGTGTATTATAGCAGAAGAAATTATTGTCATTTGCTGATTACTTCTCTGGGAAGAAGAAATCTGTACGGTACAAGATTTAATGTCTCCTGACTTGAGTAGATAAATCTGTTTTCATTGGCTCTCCATTGCATGGCCTGAACTTCACTAGACAACAGAGACACATTATTAAGACCTAAATTGAATTGCTTACTGAACTCAAAAGCTGCTAATGTTGTTGGCTACTGTTGTGTGCACTTGAGTAATGAGTAAGATGCAGTTGTGGTTGTTGGTGGTGAAATGTCCCAAGGAGGTAGCCACGACCTCCAACACTTGTCCCGTGGAGGCCCAGAGGAGCTAGCTAGCTATCTGATCAGGAAGCAGGAGGCTTAACCTGGCTCAGTATTGCAAGCTGGTCAAGATAAGAGGGGACGGGCAGATCCCTGGAGACACTGACCTTGGGCAGCAGGAAGGTTAGCAAGGGAGATAACAAGAGTGCGAGAGACATTCTGATCCCAATCTTGTTAGAGGATTAGGCTGAAGAGGGTTCAGTGTGAAGCTATGACACACAGCTCAGTAAACTGAGAAGGGCCCAGATTCTCTTATCCTGGAGTCTGCTTGGCTGGCCAGAGCGTTGTCCTTAGGAAAGGAACAGAGCTAGCTCTCCTGGAGAAGCTAGGAGCCACTGACTTCAGACCCAGGGCAGCTCTTCTCTAACCTCTTCTTCCTGGCTCTTAAGGCTCAAGAGAGCTTATTTAGCTTTTTAAGGAGATTTAGAGAGGCTGGAAGAACTTGTTTTTTCAAAAGTAAATGCTCTAGAAAAATGAAGAGTGAAAGTATTACTAAACTTGTGGGTCAAAGCTGAATGAAAAAAAAAATCAAAAGGAGGACATCTCTATTCCCAACATAAGCAGAAGACTTTTATTGTAAATATGAGGGAGACCATAGTCAGAGGCAGAGACACCTGGGAAAGTCTAGCATGAACTTGACCCTGAGCCTGGACATCTGAGGACTTGGGAGAGCAGATAGGGGAAAGAAAAGAGGGAAAGGGGGAAAGGGGAGACCAGGAGGGTAGAGTAGACAAACAGAAAGCACAGCAAAATGGCTGCAATTTTAGGGGAGGTTAGCTGGGGAAAAGCCTCGGGCTGGAGAAGTTTAGGGTACAGGGCCCAGTATGCTGCTCATACCTTATAATAGGTAGGGACTAAAGTATGCTGGGTGAACCACTTTGATATGTTAAATAAGTACCTCAGTTAGCCATTTGCCTTGGGATTGAGACCTAACAAAAGCCAGTACTCTAAGCCAGTTCTGTCCACTTGTCCTCAATAAGTAAATTAAAACAACCAAATTAATAATAAAATAAAAGTAGGAAAGATTTATTCAGTGTAAAAACATTAGTAACAAGGAAAAAGAGATTCAGAGATTCAGTGAACTCCCCAAGTCAGTCTTGTGGGTCCTAAAGCGAGATAGAAGTTTAGAGGTCCACGGATAAGCAATCTAGGTCAAAGTATGGCCCTGCCCTGCCCACATTGACCCATTGCTTAGGCTTATTAAATCTATGTGGAATATCTTTCCAGGAGACAAGTTCCCACTCTGGCTGGTGCCTTTCCCTTCTTCCAGCATGTACTCCTGGGGAAATTTCCCTTTCTTTGAGGTCCGTTGTGTCAATAGCCTGGTGTTCAGATTGAAAGACACTAGTGTCTCTTTAAAATGTCTTTATTTCTGCCAGGTCAGTTCCAAAAAGGGACATCTTTTCCTTTATTCAGGACAAAACTCTCATTTTTACTTTCTACTTGCATTCTTGGAGTCAGACAGATGAGTATTCACTGCATACAGACTAGTTCAACCCTGCAACAGCCTCCACATGTTCAGTTATACGGAGACATTTTACTCTCTTGAAAGAGCTTGAGACTCGAACAAATCTGTGAAAAAAAATAATAAATCCAGTTTTCCATCCAGCCATGCTCCTGGAGTGATGACTCAGACTAATTATTTTTTAACAAATGCTTAGGCCATAAGCTCCAGCTAGTTCTCTGACTTGTTCTTATCATCTCTTTTTCTCTAACCTGGCTTTAGCTACATGGCTGGTTTCCTCACCTTGTCTTCTTACTTCTGTCTCCTCAGCATTTCAGCTCGAATCTCTCTTTGTTCTATCCCTTGAGTTCCTCTACCTATTGGTTTATGTCCCTTTCCTCGGTGATCCAGACGAATCTCTACATTTATTCTACCCTGAGTGACTAGTTACTTCTGCTCAGCTCCCCTGATTCTGACCTCCTCTGTGTTGCCAGGTGAATCTTCTGTGTCCTCTCTCACTATTTCCCAGAATTCTCTCTATTCCTGCTGAATCCCCTACCCCCATTTCCTGCATCAGCTCATCGGCCATAAGCTTTTGTTATTGACAGGTGATGCTTACACAAATCACTTTCAAGACCATCTGGTCACCACTGAGAAGATGCAAGGACCTAGTCACTACAATCAGTTCTGTAGTGAGTGTACAGTGTGCAGGGGAGTGCATGAGCGAGCATGCTCAGACCACAGGAAAGGGTGCAAACCTTCAGTTAGAGGTTTTCGCTTTAGAGGAAAGCTGAGTTAAGATAGTCAGTTTCCTGAGGAAGTCACACCCCTTGCAACTTCAGGCCCAAGACTTCTGGTTGCCACCTTACTGGTTTGGATCTTCCTCTCTTGCCTGATGCCTGCATGTCCCTCACTGCTAGAGAGAGCTCAAGGTCTCAGGGATGTGGCAGTTTTACATTCCTTGCCTCTATGTACTCATGGCTTCTGTGGCTACAGGTCAGATGGCAACTGAGGAAGCCAGTGGGTGGAGAGAGGGAAAGAGAGTCTGGGCTCTTTAACTTAGCAAGCAGAGAAGCCACCTCTACATCTTTTAAGACAGCCATCTGGCACAACTACTCTTCCTGGTCAAGGCTTCCCACAGCCTTCTGTCTGCATAGCTCATGAATTTTTCTCTTCAGGATGTAGCTAAGTTGGCTATACATAGGGTTTACTAGTCTGCCTCCTTTCATCTTGTTTCAGACTCCACAGTGACTTTGCTGGAGCAAAACCCAAGGTGGGGTCTAGTACGACGTAGTCAAGCTGTGAACCTGAGCTGCATCTTGAAGAACTCCAAGTATCCCTGGATGAGCTGGTATCAGCAGGATCTCCAAAAGCAACTACAGTTCCTGGTCACTCTGAGGAGTCCCGGGGACAAAGAGGTCAAATCTCTTCCTGGTGCTGATTACTTGGCCACACGGGTCACCGATACAGAGCTGAGGCTGCAAGTGGCCAACATGAGCCAGGGGAGAACTTTGTACTGCACCTGCAGTGCAGACACAGTAGTAAACTCTTCTGGGGCATTGGAACAAAAACCACACACACACAGACTACCTTGCCTTCCAACACTTGAACCTCTGCAAACCCTTCTGAGCTTTCTTGCTTTCTACCTAGACATCCCCATCACCTTCCCTTAGCAAGGACTACCCTCTCCTTGCTGATTCCCAACTTGTTCTTTTTGTGCATGAGTTATAAGGTGACTTAAGGTCAAGTTCTAAAGAGCTCAGACCATAAACTTTGGGTCTTCAGCTTGTGATATTGAAAGACCTCAGAGCATAGGCTTTGGGTCTTCAGCTTGTGTTATTGAAAGACATCTCTTATCCTCCTATACTACAGCTTCTGATTTTGGGATATAGACAGATAATGTGGCCACCCTAGCAGGTAGCTGAGCAACACAGTTCAGGTGCACTCTTTGGTACAATATGATGTGAAGCACCAAGGAAACCACCGGTTGGCATTAGCTCTTCCTTCTACAATATGGGTAGTGAATAGCAGGTTGTGTGTGATGACTGAATCAATTCCCAATGTGGGGTTGGATTAAAACCAAGAGAAATTCTGAGAGCTCATATAAATACTGACTGAACTCCTGAATGTGCAGCTCTGACTACACCCTTTAAATAAAACCCTTGTTTCCATAACACCCAAGTTTTTATTACCCACACCTACTTTGACCTCCCAAACTCAATCTTAAAAGGTTCTTTGCTTCCCTCTACTAGTCTGATTCATTTTGCATTAATTATGCTATTTAAAATAATTTCAATATTTCAATATGCCATTTAGCATGGCAAAATAATTTTAAAAGAAAACAAAATCTCTTTCCCATATCAGACTTCTGAGCTCAAAACTACTAAATCTAAACTTTTTTGCCACCTACCAGTTTAGCCAAAGCAGTCATAGAAAAACTGATAAAGACTATGCCTGAAGAAAAACATTAAATTTTCTTAAATTGTGTTGAGATGGGGAAATAGCTCAGAAGATAAAGCATCTGTCTTATAAGCTTGAAACTCTGAGGACATGGGTTCAATATCCATAATACACACACACACACACACACACACACACAGTATACACACATACCACATGCATACATACAACACATACATACATGCACACATATAAATACATTCACACACAATATATACACGTACACACACAATACACACATACATACAGACATATACTCACATACATACACATTTACATATATACATGCCCATTCAAGACACAATACATACACACACAGACAGACACAATATACACACATACATGTACACACAATGTACACATACATAAATGCACACACACTCATGCATGTGCATAAATACACAGAAGGAGAGAGACGTTTGCTCTAAATCCAGGACATTCACTGTAGAGGTAATTTCACTGTGTGCTTCAGAAAAAATCAGCCCCTTAGAAACATATAAGGGTCTAGAATTGGCATTTAGGGAGCAGCAAATGTTGTACTAGAAAGCTCTAAATTAGAACTCGATTTGCAATCTGAGGAAGGCCACACTCAGAGTAAAGAACAGAACAAGGAGACTGCTCAACAACCAGGCAAATAGCTAGAAAGGAAGTTCAGAATCACAGGGCAAGGCTGGGGTGGACAGCAGGGAGGAATGAAGGAAAAAAGGGAGGAGAGTGGATCAAGGGAGAGAGGAGGAAGGATCAGGGGAGAGAGGAAGAAGGAAAGGAGCAGAGAGGGGGAGGAAGAAAGAAGGGAGATGACAGAGAGTGAACTATCATGAAGCACAGGTTACTGAACCAGGCTGTGAGCAACTGAAAGCTGTGGGAGTGAGGAATTGCCAAGATAAATTAAAGCTTCCTCTTTGGTTGAGATGCTGTTACCTTAGCCCTGTGGAGAATGTTCTTTCCACAAGGGGACACCATTTGCCCATAATTCTTCATGGTGCTTAATTTATTTGGTAACCCAACAAGGGCTTCCTTGCTCTCTCACTTGTCTCTCTCATCTGCTCCGTCAGATCTCCAGAAGTTCATTTGCCTGAGACATTGACTTGCCTCATGCTGGAGCTGCATGCTAACCTTGGCCCCAAAGCCCTGGCCATGTGTTGCTTTCTGTTTATGACCAAGAGTCACTAGTCTCCTCATAAACCATTGTAAAACAAAGGACCAGAGAAGAATGTCGAGGATTTGTATTACACCACCCTTGTAATCACTACCACCCTTAAACTGCCTTCATGACTTAAGCATTCTACCTCCTCTCTCACTAAATTTATCTCCAGTAAAGGAAGTTACTTCTTAGAGCTCATGGGAAGACAGACAGACAGATAGCACCCACACCTCTGCAATTCAGAAGCCTCAGCAGCACTGTGCCCTGCTGATATTTTTCGTAGTTGCTTAAGCTGGAAAACATTTTTGGAAGGTGAGATGTTATGAGTTGAATACTACTTGTTTCTTTCATAATTAAAATTTCACGGTGCACACTTAGCAAGTCACACACAGTTTTGGTTCCAGGAAACCTTAGATGACTTAGGTTTAGATAACTTGGAGCCTTTAGAACCTCTTCGAGGACAAGATTTGGCCTCAGAACCTTTTGTACTTAAAGGCTCCAGTGGTCTACTTGTAGTGGCTACGGGTTGTCCTTGTGCTGCTTTTTAAACATTTTATCAACTGGCTAAAGAAAATTCCCCCATGAAAACCTGCCAGTTAAAACGCAGTGGCCACTAGTGAAGCTATGTGGGCATGTGAGCAGAAAAGAGGAGAAAGAAGAATGCTTGAGTGAGAACCAAAATAGAGTTCCCCAGGCAGTTGATGACAGTGCGTGAAAGCAACGTATGCGCTGAATGTATGAGGATGCGGTGATGAAACCCGTTACTCTGAATATTCACCTCACGACATTAACTATATGAACAAGAAAATATACACTCGGGAAATTAAGTTCTTCAACTCTATCTGTTGTTATAAGCACTAGTGAACTTTGAACTTCAACCGTATGTTGCAAGTACACATTCCAAATGAGTGACTAAGCTTCATCCATGTCTGCTATTAGCTATATGGCTGTGAGACTTAATGCAGTGCCTCTTACGGTTCCTATCTTTAAATCCTTCCTCCGATTGATACCTCTATTAGCTCATTCACTCATTCACTGTCAGACATTTTCCCAAACAAAGTGTTCAACTTTCTGAAAACATGCCTAGCAAGTTTGGTAACCCCAAATGACTGTGAAGTGACCCCCTTCAAATACTTCTATTATCAGCTGGATTGAGAAATGACAGGTCTTCAGCTTCCCGTTTTCAGTGATGGAGAGAGGAAGGGTTGCGTGTGTATGATGACTAAATCACTGAATGCACAGGCGTGAGCCGGTGCGCCTCTCACGGGCCAATGAGCCCATTTGTTTTAATTGTGAGGTTGGATTTGGGCACGTGCTTTGTCACATGTTTCAGAATTCTCCTTGCTGTGGGAACTCAGTTGTTTTTCATGGTATCTTCAATCCAGGGCATGTAGTGAAAGATGCTAGCATAGATGCCAACATCAGCTCTCAAAACACAGCCATCTGCATAAGACAAGATTCCATAAAGTACCCCATTGCAGACTGCTGGGGCAGATGTGACTTCCTACGGAAAAAAGAAAACCAGGTCATCTTTCAGGCAACAGATAAGGAATTCAGTGAGGACAGGAAGTCATTGAGAGTTCCATTACCTTACAGGGCAGCCTCCGCCCTGGCACGATGCCCACACAGATCATGTTTTCTGCAATGTCAAAGGCTTTATAGGCATTACGGCAATCATGCCTGGAGATTACAGATACGTTCACGGTCTGCAGTGAGTCAGGGTCCTTGGCTAGAAGAAAAAGGAAAATCATATTTCCCATGAGTTTTTCTAAGTCTCAAAACTTCCTTTGCTTTCCTTCTTTTTTCAATATTTGTTCTATTATCAGGAAAGGAGTTCAAATTTTTAGAAATGAGAACCAAGAAGTTTAAACAATAAGTATAGAGGAGATTATCAAATTAATAATTTGCCATAACACAAATGTCCATCCCCTTAGGAGGGTGGTTGGAATATGTGAGACATTCTTGCAACAAAATGAAACAAATTGCTTAAAATCTTTTCTGGAAATTTAAACATTTAGAGAGTGTCTTTTTCTAGGCAAATTTTAGAGTTTGAGGCAACTTACAAATATATAGTCTAATTTCTTATTTGTCAGATGGTAAAACTAAATAATTATCTGGTAAATAATAGTAATAATAACAACAATAATAATAATGATAGAGCCACCTAAGACACTGGCAGCAGTAAAGAAGAAAAAACAACTAGACTAAGTAGTACAGTACAATTTAATACTGTGTCTTATGGTTTCTAATTTAAGCTGTTTCTTTTACAAAGAACAAAAAGACTTTAACAAGTCTCATAATAAGAAAGATTTTCTAATCTGTCAAGCAATGAGAATAAGGAAACTCGAGTACTATCTATCTACAGATGTTCTTCTTAGAGATTCTTAGGTAAAAGTTCTATATTTTGAGATTTTACTTTTTAAATCTGGATAAATGTTTTACTTCTAAATCTTTATTTGAAAATATGACACTACGTTTTTATTGGATATTTTATTTACATTTCAGATGTTACCCTTTCCCCATTTTCACCCCCACTGAGGAACCCCCATCACATCCCCCCTCCTCCTGCTTCTATGAGGTTGTGCCCCTACCCATCCACTCACACCTCCACATCCTCAAATTCCCCCATACTGGGGCATCTAGCCTTTACAGGACCAAGGATCTCCTCTCCCACCAATGCCTGAAAATGATCCTCTCCTACATATACAGCTGGAGCCTTGGGTCCCTCCCTATATGTTTCCAGGCCGGTGGTTTAGACCCTGGGAGTTCTGGTTGCTTGGTATTGTTGCTCTCCCCATGGGGCCGCAAACTCCTTCAGCTCCTTCAGTCTTCTCTCTAACTCCTCCATTGGGAACCCCATGATCAGTTCAGTGGTTATCTGTGAGCATCTGCCTATGTATATGTCAGACTCTGGCATACCTCTAAGGAGACAGCTATATCAGGCTACTGTCAGCATGCACTTCCTGGCATTCACCTCAGTGTCTACCTTGGTGAATGCACATGGGATGGATACCCAGGTGGGGCAGGCTACAGACAGCCCCTCCTTCAGTTTTTGTTCCACACTTTTTATCCATATTTGCTCCCATGAGTATTTTGTTACTCTTTCTAAGAAGGACCAAAGCACACACACTTTGATATTCCTTGTTCATGAGCTTCATGTGGTCTGTGAATTATATCTTGGACATTCCAAGCTTTTGGGCTAATATCCACTTATCAGTGAGTGAATACCATGTGTGTTCTTTTGTAATTGTGTTACTTCACTCAGAATGATATCTTCTAATTCCATACATTTGCCTAAGAATTTCTCAAATTCATTGTTTTTAATAGCTGAGTAGTAGTCCATTGTGTGAATGTACCACATTTTCTGTATCCATTCTCCTGTTGAAGGACATCTGGGTTCTTTCCAGCTTCTGGCTATTATAAATAAGGCTGCTATTTACATAGTGGAGCATATGTCCTTGTTATATGTTGGAGCATCTTCTGGGTATATGCCCAGGAGTGGTATAGCTGTGTCCTCAGGTAATGCTATGTCCAATTTTCTGAGGAACCACCAGACTGATTTCCAGAGTGGTTGTACCTGCTTGCAATCTCACCAACAATGGAGGAGTGTTCCTTTTTCTCCGTATCCTCACCAGCATCTGCTATCACCTAAGTTTTTGATCTCAGCCATTCTGACTGGTTTGAGGTGACACTAATTTTTAAAAAGTAAATATTGACTTCTTTGCCTTACTTTCTAGTATAACAATATGGTCACAGCTCCCCATTTCTTTTGAAAATAATTTCAGAAATGTTTACTTCATGAGTTAGACTAAAATAAGGTACACTTTTCTGTTTTATACCCAGGAATAGTGACCTAGGTTATAATTTTCTGGTGTTGATAATACTCAAAATTTATTCTTTTGGAATTTTGTGTTTTAAAGTATACAATATCATTATTTACTATAATTACTTTATTGAGCTTTCAAACACCAGACTATACATTACTTGATCAACTTCTTTCGATTGTCTCTCTGTTTAGTCTTCAGGTATCCCTTTTCAGTCCGATATAGTAATGTTCTGTCTAGTTTACCACAATATTATAGATTTATCTTATACTTGATATCTTATTATGTATTTCCTATTTCAATAATTGGAGCTCATCCGTTGCTTGAAATGGTTTGAAAACTTTCGATAGTATGTTGTATTTCATTTTAGAGTGAAGAAAACTGAAGCTCTGAGAAAAAAAAATACAGTTCTGTTACATATCATTAGGTACTCTATTGAAATTATTTCTTTTATATTCATAAGCAAAGAATATAGAAATATATATCAGAGAAAAGATTTGAAAGTCTTTTAGTGAGACAAAGGAAAAGGAAACAGTGAAAGCAGAAGCTTGAAAAAAGTCCTATGGAAGCAGAATTGCAGAAGCTCAGAGGAGAATGCCAGCAAAGTCAGACACTGTCACTTAATGCTTTGAACTCACTGGTGTCACATAGATTGTAGGCCCAGGTAGACACAGAGCACATGGCATTCACAGGCACGATGTGTTGAGGCAGTTTGACTGCTTTTGCATAGTTACTGTGTCTAATCCTTCTTTTCAGTTTGATTAACAGGAGATCATATGCAATGGATGAGACTGAGAAATATGGATGGTAGAACATTTTCTCATAGTCAGACACCTCCACGTCCCTTTCCAGGGGATCCGATGGGTTGCTTATCCCAAGAACAACCCGAAGGTTCCTAGAATGATAGAGGGACACTGATTAAAAAATAATTTATCAATTTTCTGCAGTCATATGGACCTTAATTAGTTTTCTCCAAAGAACATTCCCAGGAGATCTCCCATGAATCATTTATTGAGAGTCATACACAAGTTCCTGAGTCTATGTGTGACCTGGAAACTCATAGAGTAAAACAATCTGAAGTTCTTATCACTCACGGTAAATTGCAGTGTGCAGATGTGATCACCCATAAAGGATGAATCAAGACTCCAGTGCAGGGCAAGTAATCAGACTTCAGGTAGACCAAGTAGGGAGGAGTGCTGCCAGCTATGTGATCTGGATTATAGGCCAAGGTACCTGGAAAGAAAGGGATGGGATGCTTTTCATCAACCACTAAGAAAAACATTAAACAATATTAAAAACTTCAAAAGTACAACAGCAAAGTAAAAAAACAAAAAATGGGGGGAGGGGAATACATTTCATTAGACTCAAGTTATTGAACTGGCCTCTTCAGCACTTTTAAATAGTAAGTCAAATCTTTAAAAGTGACTTATCTTGGTTTGAAGACAATGGCAGTTGATAGAAATAGCTACTTTAAAATTTAAAAAAAGTGCTTATTCTTTTAATTGTAAAGAAATATTCTTCTACTTGAACTACGAGTTCTCTTAGGCCTGTGAAAAATCTCAGTAGGTGGAACAGTTGTTGAGCAAGCCTGACAACCTGAGTTTCATTCCCCCAGAACCCAAAGATGAAAGGAGTGTACCTATTTCACAAAGTAGCCTACAACTTTTACAATGTACCATAGCCCATGGACCCCCTCATCTTATATATACAATAATAAAGAAATGACTTTAAATAGAAATACAAGTTCTCTCATTTTATACAATTAAGTGGAATCTGTTAGACTAGCTAATTACTAAACCATTTTACCAGTTTTGAATTGTTGTTACCATTTGCATGTAAAATGCCTCACACAGGGTCACATGTTTGAACACTTGAATGCCAGCTGATGGTGATGTTTGGGGAAGTAGAGCTCTAGGGAGCAAGGTTGGAAGCTGTTAGCCTATTCCACTTCCTGTCTAGTCTCTGATTTGCATAGATGTGAGCAAGCAGCCTCATGTTTCTGCTACCAATTCAGAGGTTTCTCTTGTCATCATGCCTTCCCTACCATGATGGAATGTATAAGCCAAGTGAGCCTTTCTCCTTGATTGACAACTGATTCTTGTCAGTTCTTGGTCATAGCAATGAGGATAGCAACTGGTTCAAGGACTTTCACAATTTATCTCTCTCTTCCAACAACTGTACCATGAACAATGAAAGCCAGTACTATGGCAAGAACATGGCTCTCAGAGTCTAAGGACAACAAGGAAGTAAATAATTCCATCAATTAATGTAAGGTAGTAATATATGCTGTCTAGGACTTTGAGCTAACTTGTGAGTGAAACAGATAGCCATGCTCTTAAACATCTGAATCAGTAAGCATATTAAAAATAATGAACACAAAACCCAAGTAAATAAAAATAGCATGTTGGATGGTGATTAAAGCTTGGGGATAAAATTAGACCAGTTAAAGACGTAAAGTACCAGTTGTGTGTGTCAGGATGGAGGGTTGTGGGTGTGTGTCAGATCATGAAGTAAAGCATTATACAACAATCAGTGGCCAGGGTTGGCTAACAGAAAAGAACAATGTCATGGAGACAGAGGATTTAGATCATCAGATGTGTGGAGCCAGAGACTCCAGAAAGAGGAAACAGCTACAGCCAGAATATGAGGTATAGGTCCTGTTAAAGGAATATCACAGAGGCCTGTGTGGCTGACATGGCATGAGTTAAGTAAGGATGGTGGTGATAGAGAGTAATAGAAGGGACAGTGCGTTTTGTGCAATGTTGGAGTTATGCAGACTTGTATTCTAAGTGGAAGTAGGACCACTTCGAGATTTAAATAAAGAAGTGATGGCAGCACCCTCTTAGAAACCTTGGAAGGAGAGCATGTAGAAGTGGAGGGATTTATTAGGTGAGTAAATGATTATTCCAGTGAAAGGATGCTGGTCTGGATTATCATGAACAGTAGATGTAGTGAGGTGTGATTGACCTAGGATATATTTAGAAGACAGAACAAATAACATTTTCCTAACACGGCGATTCTAGAGTATGGAGCTGAGCCTTGTCAAAGGTTTTCAGCTTTAAGTCCGCTGTTATATTCCTTAGTTGGATTCCTCTTTTAATCTGGGTCATCCCTTTCCTGTTCCTGTGCCACAATATCTGTCATGTTCCAGGCAGGTCCAGAGGAAGCTCCTAATGTGGAATAGATATCTTGTAGATGTGTTGATATGCATGCCTACTTCAAAAGTAGTATTGTTATAGGAAGTAACTAAACTTGGTAGATGCTTTGGCAATGCTAAGAGATAGAGAAACAGTCATATACTAAGTCTGAAATGATGTCTCTATCATTTTTCTATCTTTCATGCCTTCCCAAGGACTCCTCTTTGGCCAACAGTGATAGATGTGAAGATACTCACCAAGCAGGGTTGAAAGAATGCAGAGGAAGACTAACTTCATTATGATGTGGAAAGATTTTTTGAGAGTTCAGTGTCTCTGAAAAACATAAAGAAGAGAGGAGGAGATAAAATACTGATGAATTATTTCAGTGGCGGGATTTACTTTATGAAAAACTCTCCCCACCAGAGTAGAGAGTGGTGTCAGAGGAAAGAAACAGCTTGTAACAAACTTGATCACCTACGCTGTCTAGATCTCAGTTTTTTCCTCTTTTGAACAAGTCACTTAATCCAAGAGAGATGTTCACAGTGTCTCCACAGCCTCCTGGTCGTTGACTTGTGCAGGAGGGCTGCTCTCTGAGCTGCTTACATGATGCAGACCCTCCCATCTCTATGATGCTATCTCTCCCATTTGTGTGACACTGGTATTTACCTATACTCTGGCACAGACAGTAACCCTTCTGCTTGTTACTCAGTGTCTCTTTGAAGTACTTTAGCTATTTTCTTCATGACATAAACCAACCATCATTTAAAACCACATAAATACCACCAGAGCTGGAATGTGGTTTTTGGGGGGGTGGGGAGTTGGGTATCCATATATTTAAAGTTTCCATTTTTATCTTTAAGAAGCTCCCAAGCTCGAAGAAGTGATAGACAGTGAAGCAAATGGGTGCTATCAAAAGTATTCAGGCACAAAGACACTGGAGTATTATATAGACTAGGCAACACTACTTGTAAATCACATCTCTTAAAGTATCTGTATCCAAAAATATAAGGAAATGTTAAAACTCAACAAGCAACTTGAATGTGGGTCTAAGATCTGAGCAGGTGATGATCGTGATGAATGTTTCTCTCTTTGGATTTCCAAAATAGATAGCACATTCTATGTGCCTTGAGCAACAAACATTAGTCTTCTTATAGATCTGGAGTTTGTAACTCATTCCTCCAATTACTGACAAATTTGGTGATGGTGGCTGATAGATACCTTCTTCTGGGGGTTCACTTGGCTTTTCCCATATGTGTATATGCACAGCAAAGGAGAGGGAATAGACTCTTATTTTCCTAATAAGAATCTAATACTTACTGGGTTCCTAAGATATGGAACAGAAATGGCTGAGAAACAAATTTCAAATGTGTAACATCCATAGTCATGAGGAAATGCAAATTAAAATTACTTTGAGATTTTATCTTATTTGAGTCAAAATGGTCAAGGTAATTAAACAAATGATAGCATATGCTGGTGAGGATGTGAGAGAAGGGGAACACTTATCCATTTCTGGTGGGAGTGCAAACTAGTACAGCCACTGTAGAAATCAATGGGGAGGTTTCTTAGGAATCTGGTAATGGATCTGTCTCAATATCTACCTATATCTCTCTTGAGCATATAGTTAAAGGACTTTATGACCTACTCATAAATACTTGCTCACCCATGTTCACTGCTGCTCTATTTATAATAGCCAAAAATTGGAAGTAGTGTGAACATCCTTCAAGTGATGAATGGCTAATGAAATCTGCCACGTTTACACAATCGAACATTATCTCATTGTTAAGAAAAACAATCCACGAAATTTGAAGGTAAATTGATGGCTGTAGAAACAAATATCTTTCCAAGTGAGGTAACCCAGACCTAAAAAGACAAATACTGCATGCCTTTTCTTATATGCCGATGTTAGCTTTTAAGCTTTCTTTGTATGCTTTAATCTACACATGTGAGCACCTAGCAAGGAACAGGAGGTAGTAGTCCAAGGAAGAGGAAATAGAATATAGTGTTATAATGAGATAAAGGGAAAATAGAATAGTATGATTAAACGGAAAGGGGTGTGGAAGTGCAGGATAAATGAGGGAATATGGCAAGGACAATTAGCATTAAAGGTCTTTGGAAAAACAATGAAAATATACTAAAATATATTCATGTATTAAAGGAATTTAAATGAAATCATCATATAATAGAGGAGATAATGGCCTAATTAGATGTCTTGTATACCAAGTCAATACTTCAGTAGTAGGGATAGTTTATGAAGTGTGGAATCATTGACTAATGGGATTCCATAGTGCCCTTGAAACATCATGGGCTATTTCTAAGGCTACTGGTTACTCTCTGTAATCCAATGGCAAGGACTTATTGCTGAAAACACTACTCACTTATGTCATCATATTGGAACAATCCACTTCCAAATAGAAGTTTTGTCCCCTATTGTCTAGCATTCTATTGAAAGAGAAAATTAATCGTTAATCACTGAGCTGGAAATCCTCTGGCCTATAACACAATTCTGACTACAAGATATACTGATGTAATAATGGGAAAAATGTCATAAGAGTTACCAATCACATTTTAAATGGGATTTAAGGCCCACTCTGTGAGATGGGACCCACACCCGACACTACTAATGTGGTCAAGATCCTGAAACTAAATAGATTCCGGACCTTTGGGGAAAATCTTCTACTACTATTCTGATAAGTGAATCAAGCAATAAAATGATTACTGATGACATATTGGTATATACATAGATCAGTGTGTTACTTAACTCTCATCCGAGAAGTTTATTCTTGCAGTAGACAGTTACTAAGGTACAAATCTGCAACTGGAAATGTAAAAACAGTGAGAAAACACTGGCATACTCAGACCTAAATGGGCCGTCTTTATAAAATTCCTCCCCTCAAGGCTTAGGGAAGAAGATGAGGAAAGATTGTAAGAGCAAACGGTAGTAGATGACTCCAAGAAGGCATTATCTTTTAGATACAGCAGGACTGATACACATATAAACTCACAGGAACTGTGACAGCATGCATAAGATTTGTACAGTTTCAAACCAGATAAAATGCCAGCACACCAAAAAAGTAAACACAAATCCCCACCCTAACCAAGAAGTTATTTTCAACTGATAACTACTGGGAAAGGAAAATATCTGTTTTCTCCAGTTACATGCCAAAGATATATTAATCACACACCTCAGGGCAAACCATATGCTCAGGAGTAGTTAGTTAGCAAGCACAAAAATCTCAAAATGGACTCCATAATTATTTTTCTTGCTATTTTATTTTATACTGATTTCATCTTTCTGTCTTTTTTACCTTAAGTTTTCTGCTTTTGTTTTTTGTTTTTTGAGAGAGGTTTTTTCTTTTCCTTTCTTTCTTTCTTTCTTTCTTTCTTTCTTTCTTTCTTTCTTTCTTTCTTT